CCATCGTCTCTCTGGCCCGGTCGCACGTGGCGAGCGAGTGCAGCAACGAGCAGTTCCCCCTGGAGATGCCCATCTACACGTTCCAGCTGCCGGACCTAAGCGTGTACAGTGAGGATTTCCGGAGCTTTATCGAGCGGGACTTGATCGAGCAGGCGACGATGGTGGCTCTGGAGCAGGCCGGTGAGTTCCCCGCAGGCCGGCTGCCCAGGCTCTCCGGGAGTGGGGAGGGGGAGGCGGCACAACTCATGTTACCCCGCGAGCCAGAGGGGCGCGCAGTCCGGCTCTAGGTGCCTGCACCACACGCCTGCTGGATGTGGGGCCCAGAACGCGTGGTACCCAGACTTCTTGAGTGTTCCCTTTGCTCCTGTATCCACACTGGCCAGGCCAGTCCCCCTAGAGAGAACTCCAGGCTGCTTTGTAATTCTCTCCTTTCTTGTACAATCCCTGCTCCCCAAGTGTGTGCTGAAGAGAAAATAAGAAAGACCTTGGGGGGAAATAGGAGAATTGTCACTTCCTGTAAACATGGGCAAGGTAGATGACCTCCTTGAGCCTTAGTTTCCCATCTGTTAAGAAAAGGAGGTAGATGCAATGGGGTGAAGCTCATGGTGTTCAATGGCCCGTGCCCCTAAGAGCTTCTAGTCTCCTCCTCCACCCCACCCTCCACCCCACGTTCCCCATCCCTCCACACATCCCACCTCCCCCACCCCACCCCTGTAAAACCTGACTTGGCTCTCCCTGGTACAGGAAAAACAGATGTGGGGCGTAAGGAGGGTTAGGGTTAGGAGTGGAACCCCTAGGATCTGCCCTGCCAGGCGTGGTTCCTTGGTTTTGTGCAGGAAGCAATTTAAGAGCGAGCCGCGGTTGAGCAAAGGTAGATTTATTCAGAGAGATACACACTGCATAGAGTGTAGTCTGTTTTAGAAGGCAAGAGAAAGGCCACAAGGTGTGGGGATTGGGTGCTCAGGTTAAAGTAAAAGTAGACACACCTCCATAGACAGAGTGCCAACCGCCTCGGAAGAGGAGGGAGTGAGAGAGGTGGCCACAAGGGCCCCCGAGGCCTGTGGTGTTGGAACAGAATCCATGTTCTCGATAACTGTGCTGGAGCTGGTGTTGTGACCCCGGACAAATTGTTTTCTCTGCTGCTGCACAGCTACCAGAGGCAACCCAAAGACCGATACCCACAGCCTGGCTCTGTCTTTGACTTGATCAACGGAGGTAAAACAATCCCTCTGGACTGACAACAGCCTTAAACCCCTCCTGCTTCCCTAACCTGGGAAGGGAAACCATCACCCAAGTCCGGGAAGCGCAGAGCGTCCCAACAGGATTAACTCAAAGAGGAACACACCAAGGCACATGGTAATTAAATGGACAGAAATTAAAGATAAGGAGAAAATACTAAAAGCAACAAGAGAAAAATAGCAAATAACATGCAAGGGGACTCCCAGAAGGCTCTCAGCTGACTTTTCAGCAGAAACTCTGCTGGCCGGAAGGGAGGGGCATGATGTGTTTAAAGTGCTGAAAGGGAAGAATCCTGCAACCAAGTGTACGCCACCCAGCAAGGCTCTCGTTCAGATGTGACACTGAAATCAAAAGCTTTACAGACAAGCAAAAGCTAAATTCAGCATCACCACACCAGCTTTACAGCAAGCGTAGAGGGGACTTCTCTAGGTGGAAAAGAAGAGGCCACAACTAGAAAGAAGGAAATTATGAAGTGAAAGAGCTTACCAGTAACAGCAAACAGACAGTAAAGGGAGGAAATCATATACATACAAACTAATAGGGAATTAAAAGACAAAAGTAGTAAAAATCATCTGTATACACAATAAGCAGTTAGAGGATACGCAAAACAATTCGATGTAAAATATGATATTAAACCCCTTCCCGTGGAGGCTGGCTATTTTAAAGATGCCTCTTTTGTGAGTAATTCAGATGAGATGTTTTAAACCAAAGATACGCTATTCACAGAGAAGGGGAAATTGGTATAGGTCAAGAAAGGAAAAATTTCCTGAGCTAATTTCTCTTGAATGTCACAGCAGCTGAGACCTTTACAAAGTTCAGTCCTGAGCATCACACAAAGCACTGGTAATTGCTGCTGCCTCATTTAAAGCTGGAGTCATGGCAAAGGGCACAGAATCCACTGTGACAGCTCCCCCTTCTGCCTTGGCCTGCTCAGCAAAAGGGCCTGTGCACATTCGGAACGTCTTTTCTGTTATTTTTTCCCCCGTAGGTCACATATTAATTGTCATCACTTACATTTTACCTTCTAGACCAGCAATTTGAAAGGGTACTCTTGGGCGGGGCAGGGTATAGCTCAGTAGAGCACATGCTTAGCATGCACAAGGTCCTGGGTTCAAGCCCCAGCACCTCCATTTTATAAATAAATAAATAAACAAACAAACAAACCTAATTACCTCCCTCCCCCCCAAAAAAAATTTTTTAAAGAAGGAAAAAAAGAAAGGATACTCTTTCCCTCCAGCATCCAATTTTGGAAAACACCTTTGAAAAACCCGAACTTAATGGGTTAAGATGCCAGGTTCCCCCACAGTGCCTCATTTCTACCCAAGGGATGGAGAGAAGTGACAGCAGGGTTGGCACCCAGGACTGTGGATGGCACCCCATCAGTGCTGTGGAAAGCCTTGGGGAAGCCACCCGCACCCCGACTTTCAGGAGTGTGCTCCTGGGCAGGGAGAGTCCAAACATCAGAGTCCCGCCTAGGAAGGAGAGGTGAGGACAGGAAGATAATGAAAGGCAGAGCACGCATGCGCTCCTTTCCTCCCCGCACTGTCCATTGGCTTCTCTGAACTGCACTTTCTCCTACTCTCAGGCAACAGACCCGATCATCCCTCAGGCCCTTTCTGTGCCCGGATCCTGGGGGGACCCCCCCACCAATGCACGGGAGTCCCATGCAGCCCCCTACCCTGGCTGAGTGAGGAGCCCGGGTGCTGGGAGTTGTCCCTGGCTGCGCCCCTCGGGCCCTGCGGTCACTCTTAGTCAGCAAGACAGGGCTCAACCGTGGAACCGTGAGTGAGAAAGCTCTCGGCATGGCCAGGTGCAGAGTGTCAGCTCCTCCTCCCAGTAATCTAGTGCTCAGGAGCGCTGCGAATCAACTATTGATCAGTGATATTATTTACTGTGTAGGCAGGAGTGGAAATATGAATGTGAAAAAAATTTTAGTGAAGGGGGAAGGTATAGCTCAGTGGTAGTGTGCTTAGCATGGAGGCGGTCCTGGGTTCAATCCCTAGTCCCTTCATTAAAATAAATAAACCTAATTTCCCCCCAAAATTTTTTTTCAATTTTTAGTGAAAAAAATCTACTTTTTCAAGGCATAATTCTCGTTGTGTTTTGAAGGAAATACAAACTCTGTAACTGGACTCCCCTCTCTCTCGGGAATGGATAGGAACCCAGGGCTCATGTGGTCCAGAAAATCAGCACAAAAATGACCTTCACTCAGTTCATGTTGCCTGTGGTCCAGCCATCCATCCTGGGTGCCCAGCTCCACTCTCCCAGGGCCTGGAGCAGAGCAGGCATCCACAGTGGACCCCCAGATCCCTGAGGCCCATGGACAGTCCCATCTGCTTGAGGGACCTCTGTATTCAGCCTCCCACAGAAGCCACGGGAGCTGGAGTGCTATTCTCCCCAGGCCTTAAAACCCTGGAGGACCCAAGCTCCTCCCACCCCGTGACAGTGGGGGACACAAGGAGGGCCAGATCTTCAGGACAGAAAACTGCTGACCTCCCAAGAGAGGAAGGAAAGCGCCTTTCAGGCGCCAGCGTTTAGAATGCAAGAAACCCGTTCATTTCCCAGTCGGGTTATCCTGCTGCATTCACACGTAAGAAGACTCAGAGATCAGGGTCTGTAGGTTTGGGAAGGACCACCTGGCGCCCCTGTCAGACGCCCACCACAGCGTGGAGGAGATGGTGTGGCACATCAGTGGGACTGCAGGTCCCAAAGGCAGGGGCACGTTTGTGTGATTAAGCAGTTAATGCACACACAGGATGCTGGTCAACATGTCAGAAGTATGTGAGGATGGATGCCTTTGAGCTGTGATGTTGAGTCTTGTCTCCACGGGAGGGCATTTGGATTGGAGCGAATCTGGCAGAGAAGCCCCAGGATGCGCAGGTTTGGAAGCTTCCAGAGCAGCCCGCCCGGCCGCATCCCAGATCAGCTGGGAGGCCCACAGGAGCCTGGCTTCCTTCTGTCTTAAAGTCAGAGTTGTGTGACAGCTGCCGAGACAGATTCACCCCAGGAAAGGCTGAGCAGCACTCCCACGAACGCCCCATCCAGGTGCTGGACCAGCCAGCCCATCACTGCGAATCCCGCAGGTGAAATCGTGACCCTGTGGAGAGGAAGTTCTATTCAGGAAGAAAGACAAAGGTAGACCATGAATATAGCACAAGGCTGTGTGCGAGGTAGGGGCTCTGAGGGGGATGGGGATTAGGGCAGGGAGGAATGAGCCCTGAGACCTGCTCCTGGCACAGTTTCAAAGACTTGGAGTATTTAAGGAAGGCAGGGTCACAGGAGCAGATAGAGTGAGGGCTGGAGGAATTGGAAAGGAAGGCGAGAGAAGGGTAGCCAGGGAGCCCTCATGAGCCCTGAGGTACCTGTAGGGAGGATGTGCAGCCCCTGGAGGGCTTCAAGAAAAGGAGGGGAGTAACATATATGGATTCACAGTGACACGTTCTGGCTGCTGTGTTGAGAACAGACTCTTCGGAGACAAGAGAGGAAGCTGGGGGAGCAGGGAGAGGCGGCTGCTGTAGCCCAGTGCCGTGAGGGTAGCAGTGGAAATGACGGGAAGTGGCTAGATATTAAGGTAGTGTCTGGGAAAAGGACATACAGGTCTTGCCACTGGAGTGGATGGGGAGAGATGGAGGCTGGGGCAGAAAGAGGAGAGTCAAGCATGACCTCAGGATTGTTGCCTTTAGCGCATGGGTAGATGGTGGTGCCCTATGGAGATGCAGGCCCTGGAGAAGGGGCTGGGGGTTAGTGTCGATGGAGAAGACAGTAGCTACAGGCAAATTCTGAGATCCTGGTGAGATGTGTCAAGCTGCTATTCTGTTGAACAAGTGGGTCTGGAATTTGGGAGCAGTCTGGGCTAAGGATACAGATGTGGGAGTTAGCAGTGTAGGGTTAAATCTGAGGGAGGGAATGTGCCCATGGGAAGGACCTCCCACAGTGCCCCT